CTCCTGTCCATCCAGCTGATCCCCATTCCCATCCCAGGAGCTCCTTCCCTATCCCAGGAGCTCCATCCCCATTCCTGTTGGGATCTGGATCCTCTGAGCTCATCCTGCGATTGTTTTCATTCCCTCATTCAGGGAATTCCATCCCTTTCCTCCCACCAATGTTCCCATCCCTCCTGTCCATCCAGGTGATCCCCATTCCCATCCCAGGAGCTCCATCCCTATCCCAGGAGCTCCATTCCCGCTGGGACCCGGATCCTCTGAGCTCATCCCGGGGTTGGTTTTATTCCATAAATCAGGGAATTCCATCCCTTTCCTCCCACCAGTGTTCCCATCCCTCCCGTCCATCCAGGTGATCCCCATTCCCATCCCGGGAGCTCCATCCCCATCCCTGTCCCTGATCCCAGATCCGGGTTGGATCCAGACCCTCTGAGCTCATCCCGGGATTGTTTTTATTCCATAAATCAGGGAATTCCATCCCTGTCCTCCCACCAGTGTTCCCATCCCTCCCGTCCATCCTGGTGATCCCCATTCCCATCCCAGGACCCCCATCCCAGGAGCTCCATCCCCATCCCTGTCCCTGATCCCAGATCCAGGTTGGATCCGGATCCCGGGAGCCCATCCCGGGGTTTCTCGGGATCAGGGAGATCCCCAAAACCCCTGGGATGGGTTGGCTGGGAAAGGGGACCTTGAGGATCATCCCCTTCCCACCCCAATATCCCGAGTCGGGAGCACCCCCCGCTCCAGAGCCGGCTCCGCAAACACGGATCCATCCCCGGGAACCCCCTGGAATTCCCGCATTCCCAATGGGAAGCTGAGCCCCGGGGTCTCCCTCGATTCCCGCTCCTGCTCGTGCCAGAATTCCCTGGGAATCCCAAAAACGCCCCCAAAAGGGCCCAAAGGGGCTGTTTGGAGCTGGGATGGGCTCCCAAATCCCTCGGGAGCTTTCCCAGGAGGGAAAAAAAGCCGGGATTCTTCCCCCGGGCCCATCTCCCAGCCTTCCCTGGAAGAGCCAATTTTTTGGGATGGCCTTAAGGATGAGCCTCCCAGGAGGGGCAGGAGGGGGGACACCGATCCCTGTCCAGCAGATCCTTCATATTTCCCGGGAATCCCCCGCCTGGAGCAGCCTGGGGGGTCGGTTTTATTCCCAAAATCCGGGAATTCCATCCCTTTCCTCCCACCGGCGTTCCCAGCATTCCTGTTGATCCAGCTGAGCCTTTCCATGGGGGGAAAAAAAAAGCTGGAAGCG